TTAATTTATGGTGTGGAAAGAATAACATTTAATGAAATTATTCCCAACTGAATGTTCAGGGAAGATTTAGATACACAAAAAGTAATTACCTATATTGAAAATTGCTCTTCAGGGGTTAACACCAGCCAATCTTTTACCAGAAAGTGCCATGGCCTCTCCAGCGAGGGGAATCAGGTCTCTCTCCTGCCCTGCAGCCTTCCAGAACCATCATTCACTGCAACGAGCATTCCAAATCACATGGGTGCCTTGGCCAGCATCTTTGACTGGTTTATAGATTTCATTGTTATCTGGACAAGGGTTCGTTAGAATTGCCTGTCTCAGAATTCTTTTTCTGCGTCTGTTTTTAGTTGTGTAAGAATATTTCAAATATACCACTTGGGGGTAAGAGGATTTATGAAGGCTATTTTCCACATATTTAAAAACCTAATAATAATACCCCAATTATTTAATAATAACCTAGAAGAATTGGTTCTTAGCAACTTAAATTTCTCTCTTTCTCTTTTATTTCTGTTGTGAACTATTCAAGGATTTAAGCAAGAAAAAGATGCAACATTAACACATAAACCTATAGAGGTAAATACACATATAAAGTGTGATTTTGGATGTTGACTTTTCAATATCCGTAGAAATAGTTGAAAATCTACTTGTATTTTATGGTAGGTAATAATTGAAAATATACAAAATAACAGCAATCAAATATTAATGACATGGAGAATCTAGAAGTAAATAAAAAACTCTGAGCAGATAACATTGATTTCACAAAGCCTGATTAAGAAAATAAAACTGCTGAAAACTATAAGACATTATTGAAAGAAATTGAAGAAGACCTAATGAAATGGAAAGATATTCGATGTTCATGGATCAGAAGAATAAACATAGTTAAAATGTCTATACTACCTAAAGCAATCTACAGATTCAGTGCAGTCCCAATCAGAATCCCAATGACATTCTTCACAGAAATAGAACAAAGAATCCAAAAATTTGTATGGAAGAATAAAAGACCCTGAATAGCCAAAGCAATCCTGAAAAAAAGGACAAAGCTAGAGACATCACAATCCCTGAGTTGAAAACATACTACAAGGCTATAGTAATCAAAATAGCATGGTACAGGCACAAAAACAGACAAACAGATCAATGGATCAGAATTGAAAGCCCAGAAATAAAACCACACATCTGTGGACAGCTAACCTTCAAGAAAGGAGCTGAGAACATACAATGGAGAAAGGAAAGTCTCTTCAATAAAATGGTGTTGGGAAAACTGGATAGCTGTATGCAAAAGAATGAAAGTAGACCATTTCCTTGCACCCTGCACAAAAAATAATTCTAAATGGATTAAAGATTTAAATGTAAGACCTGAAACCATAAAACTCCTAGAAGAAAATATAGGCAGCACACTCTTTGACATTGGTCTTAGCAACATCTTTTCAAATCCCATGTCTACTCTGGTAAGGGAAACAAAAGAAAAAGTTAACAAATGGAACTACATCAGACTCAAAAGCTTCTGCAAAGGAAAGGAAACCATGAATAAAACAGAAAGACAACCCACCAACTGGCAGGAAATATTTGCAAATTGTTTATCAGACAAGGGGTTGATCTCCAAAATATATAAAGAACTCATACAACTAGACAAAAAAAGCCAAACAACGCCATCAAAAAGTGGGCAGAGGATATGAACAGACATTTTTCCAAAGAAGATAGACAGATGGCAACAGACACATAAAATGATGCTCAACATCACTAGTTATTAGGGAAACACTAATCAAAACTATGATGAAATATCACCTTACACCCATCGAAATGGCTATAATTACCAAGACGAAAAACAAATGTTGGAGAGGATGTGGAGAAAAGGGAATGCTCATACACTGCTAGTGGGAATGCAAACTGGTGTAGCCACTATGGAAAACAGAATGGAGATTATTCAAAAAATTAAAAATAAAAATACCATATGATCCAGCTATCCTACTACTGGGTATTTATCCAAAGAACTTGAAATCAATGATCCAAAGAGATTTATGCATCCCTATGTTCATTGCAGCATTATTCACAATAGCCAAGATGTGGAAGCAACCCAAGTGCCCTTCTACAGATGAATGGATAAAGAAGATGTGTATATATATATACAATGGAATACTACTCAGACACAAAAAAGACGAAATTATCCCATTTGCAACATTTATGGATCTTGAGGGTATGATGTTAAGTAAAATAAGTCAGACAGAGAAAGACAAATACTGCATGATTCACTCATATGTCCAAGATCAGCAAACACATGGACGAAGAAACAGATTAGTGGTACCAGAGGGGAAGGGTGTTGGGGGGTGGGCAAAAGGGATAAAAGGTCACATATGTATGGTGATGTATAAAAATTACACCTCTTTGAGTGAGCACGATCAAGTGTATTCAGCATTGATAAACAATAATGTACACCCAAAATTATGCAATGTTATAGACCATTATAATCCCAGTAAAATTCCTTGAAAAAAAGTTAAAAAAAAAGAAAACCACAGACTTTTCTTCTGTCGCATACTCATAGTTTTTATATTATTGAATATAAATATATGAATAGAATGTATTGAAAATAAATATATAATAAAATATTTTGTATTTAGATTTAAATATGTTTTTATATAGATTATAAATATATGGATATTATTGTTTTATATTATACTCATATTTAGTTTATACAAAATTCCATCTAACATGGCTTTTTTGGACCCGTGGTCCAAAACCACTTGGAAATAAGGGCTCATCACTCTGACCTAGCAGAAGTAAAAACAGCTGGACATTGAGGAAGGACCAGAAGCATTACCAAAAACCGAAACTAACAACTAAAAAAAAATGCAATGATGAAAATTTAAGAAAAATTATACGTAGAATGAGGAAATCGAATTATAAAGAGATCACGCTGCCCTGTATCTCTCTGGACACAGCACCTGTATCATCGTTATCTTAGCTTTCCATCTTCTGATAACTCAGAACTCACAAACCCAGCTGGCTTTCAGTACATGGTCTGCTGGGCATCTCTGTTTACATAGAGAGACAGAGAGACAGAGAGGGAGAGAGACGGATAGGGAGAGAGAGAAACAAGGTTTAGATATATATTCTGTGATTATTATATTACACCAAGTTTAAAGAAACTTTCCCTAATAACCATATGCAGCCACATTAAGAAGAAAGGAGACATAATTTACACCAGGCAAGTGGCCATGGACTAAGAAGGAAAAGTTCAGCATAGTAAAGTCTCCATTTCTGTGGTGTGTACTTTAGGCAGAAAAACAAACTGTGTAAATAAAAGATGGAAACTATTTAGGCTGCTTATGATTCCTGCCAAAATAATAAGGATCAAAGTCATGTATGAAATGGCTTTAAGTCACTTAAATACCCAACAAAGTTCAGGGTGGGGAAAAGGCCAGTTCAACCTGGATTCAAGTCAAATACTGTTTATAGATTACTTGGATTTACTTCTCTTTTGTCTTTCCCTTCAGTGAGGTCATGGCATTCATTTGAAATACAGTTGGGATTGTTTGTTTCAGCTACAGATTTTTCTCACCTTCCCGTCTTTTTAGCTCATCTTTTGTTTTTGGAATATGTGGAACATTAACGTATTTCCAAGAGCAAAATCTATTAGAAAAGGTACCCTCAGAAAAGGGGCCCCCACTCCACTATTGCTTTCATCCTGTTGTCCCTCTCGCTCACCTCCACTTCTTGTCTTCAATCCACTCCACGTTTTAGGTTTATCCTTCCTGGGTTTGTTTTTACAAAGATAAGCAGATATATGTGCTTTCTCACTTCCTTTCTTCCATGAGCAAAAGATAGTCAGCTATACATATGCACATTGTTTTTTTTTCAACAGTATCTCTCTCATATTGTTTACAGAGACCTTTTGTAACAGCAGAGATCAATTTTGAACAGCATCATTTCATATTGTTCCTAGAGATCTTGTTCTTATTTATTTGTTTATTTATTTGTGAGGCAGATTTGCCCTGAGCTAACATCCATTGCCAATCTTCCTCTTTTTTTTTTTTTTTTTTGCTTAAGGAAGGCTAGCCCTGAGCTAACATCTCTGCCAGTCTTCCTCTACTTTGTATGCAGGATGCCTCCACAGCATGGCTGATGAGTGTCGTAGGTCCACGCCCAGGATCTGAACCCACGAACCCAGGCTGCTGAAGCTGAGTTTGCAGAACTTTAACCATTCGGCTATGGGGCCAGCCCCTTATTCTTTGTTTTTTACAGCTGCATAATACTCTGTTGTGCATGTTTACTATACTTTACTCACCAAATTCCTACGGAAAAGCATCACTTTTAATCTTCCTTATCCCACCATTCCTAGTATACCTTGTAGGGACTCAATACATTTTGCTAAGTTAATGAATTAGTGGACAGCAAGCTGCTTTAGGTGAATCTTGAAGGATATGTGGAATTTGGGTTGATAGGAAGTGAATGAGGGTTCTGAAGAGGAATCATGCTGAGCAGAGATGCACCATGGATCAACAAGAAAGTTGGTCTGCCTAAAATAAAAAATTTTATTGCCAAGTTTAGGGAATAGAATTGCTATCTCAGAAGAAGCCAAAATTAAAGTTCTTTGAAAACTGGTTTCAATGTTACATTTCATTGAAATTTAAGCTTCAATGGCATGAATAAAAATTGTTGGGAAAAAGAGTATCTGGGCATAGTGGTAGAAGTTAACCCTATGTGGTACCAATGCTGCTAGATTTTCTGTATTAACTGTTTTTATTAAAATTTTGCATTTTTTTACATTATAGCAGAGCTAATGGAACTGAATTAATTTTCAAAATATGCGTAACTCGGGATGAGCTTGGTGGTGTACTGATTAAGTACGAACACTCAGCTTTGGTGGCCCAGGCTTTATGGATTTGGATCCTGGTCACGGACCTGCACACTGCTCATCACGCCACACTTTGGTGCTGTCCCAAATACAAACTAGAGGAAGATTGGCACAGATGTTAGCTCAGTGGCAGTCTTCCTCAAGGAAAAAGAGGAAAATTGACAAAAGAATTTAGCTCAGGGCCAATCTTCCTCACCAAAACAAAAAAAAAGCACAACTAGTTTTATGTACTTAAAAGTTTAGTCATGTTTCCAAAAGCTACCTATTTATTTTCTCTAGGAAGGGTGTGTATGTGTGTGTTGGAGTCATATAGTGCCCAGCTATAGACCTTCAACATTATGTTCAATGAGGTTGGAAAAGGGCACCAAAATAAGTTTTCAGGGAGTTCATAATTAACTGAATAAGGAATATATTAATATTCCTGGCAGTGAGAGGTGAATTAGAGGAGGTAACCAAGCAATATTAGTTTTCTATTGTTGTGCAACAAATTAGGAGCTTACAACACCTATTTATGATCTCATGGTTTTCATGGCTCTAGAATCTTGTAACAGATTTGTTCTCTGCTCAGGATCTCACAAGTCTGAAGTCAAAGTCATTGGAGGCATTCTCCAAGCTCAGGTGGCTGAGCAGAATTCGTTTCCTGCATTGTAGGGTTAAGAACCCCATTTCTGTGCTGGCTATCAGCCAGGGGTCCCTCTTAGCCCCTGTTGGCTGCCTGTATTCATTCCCACATGGCCTCCTCCATATTCACGGCTAGCAGTGGATAATCTGTTTCTTGTTGAGTCTATTTCATGCCTCAGATGTTTTTTTACTGGGAAGAACTCCGTCTTTCTTAAGGGCTTACTTGATTGGGTCAGGCCTAACTTGATTAGGTTATTAATCCTTTCCTAAAGTTAGCTGTGCCGTATAATATATTCTAAAACCATCATATTCATAGATCTTTCCAACACTCATTAGGAGGGGATTAAATAAGGGTGTGGCTCCTTGGTGGGTCATCTTAGAATTCCACGTACCACACCAGGGCATGAGGGTACAGAGATAACAGGAGGTTACTGTATTCATCCAGATTTGAGTCTGTGAAGACCTCAATTCAGGTGGTAGGGGAGAAGGATAAAAGGAAGAGATGCAAACACATTTTAAGTGGAGGTTGAATAGGACGTGCTGATTGGCCCAAGAATGAAGAAAAGGGTAAATAGTCAAAGACACTTCAGACTGAATCAAGCCGTCAATTGAGGCAAAGACGTGAGAAAAGGAAATGTCTCTGACTGGGAGGTCACTGAGTTTGGTTTGAGACGAGTTGAGTCTAAGTTAACAGGGCTTCAGAAGGAGAACATTGATGAGGCAGTTGTAAACAAATGTATTACTGTAGCCCGAGTCAGAGCTCAGGGCTGTGGAAGGAGACTTGGCTTCCATCACATTAGAGGTGTAGCTGATGTTTTGAGGATAAATATGCTTATCAAAGAGGGTGGCCTAGAAGCCTGTTATGGACTGAATCACATCCGCCAAAATTTATATGTTGAAGCCCTAACCCCTGATGTGACTTGGTTTGGAGGTAAGGCTTTTAAAGAGGTGACTTAGCTTAGGTGAGGTCACGAGGGTGGGGCCTGGTCCAACAGGACTGGTGCCCTATAGAAGAGGAGGAGACGTCAGGAGAGTGGCACAGATGGAGGACACAGGGAGAAGACAGCCATCTGCAAGCCAAGGAGAGAGGCCTCTGGAGAAACCACACTTGCTGGCACTTTGATTTTGGACTTCCAGCCTCCAAAGCTGTGAAGAAATAAATGCCTGTTGCTTAAGCCCCCCAGGCTGTGGTATTTTATTGTGGCCGCCCGAGCCTGACTCGTTCAAAGCCCAGGTATGGTTTCCAAGAAGAGACACATGTTGAGAAGGCAGGAGCAGGCAGAGTGAATGAAAAGCAGCCAGAGGTCTAAGAATGCTGAGTCTGCATTGTGTAAGCTAGAGAGGCATCTGGGGCTTGGGGTCAGAGTCTGGAATCCAGCCTTCGCTCCTCAGTGGACGGCGCTATCTGACTTTGAGCAGTCCCCAGATCCTGATTTAAGCTCTCCAAGCCCCAGATCCATAAAGTACAGATAATGTATACACTTCCTGGTTATTGGGAGGGTTAAATAATTTTCTGTATTTCTGTTGCTATATTGATATTGATAGATATGCATACAACTAAAAGCTTTTTCCTAAGCTATAAAGCACTATATAAACATACCTTATTGGCAATGGCCTCCGGGGTTATAAAACTATGATGTTCTGGTAATATCCATATAAAAAGATTCTCCATTCTTTTGCACTCATCTGCATTTGTAGCCACACCGTAAGCTCTCCCTTCCTGCTGTTTTCCAGGTATCCACACATGTCCAGGCATTTATTTTATTATGTTGATATGTTGCTTGAAAACTAGGTAGTGATGGTTGTTAGAATTTTGTCACGAAAGAATAAGCGGGTTCCAAGGTGCAGCCCAAGGCATGTTAGTGTGGGTTAGAGTAGCAAACTAGTGCCTGGCCTTCGCTCTCCAGTCTGACTGTGTGTGTATGTGCCCCTGCCTCTGGTTCTTGCCTATTTCATGAGTGGCTGAGCTGGCCAGGCAAGAGTTAACTTGATCCTCTATTAAAGGTGCATGTGGAAAACTTGGAAAATATTCAGGTGAAAAGTTTAAAGAAGTCAAATAATTTAGCCTTAAAAAGAAAACGCCGTGAAGAGAGCTGAGTAGCATTCTTCAGTCTGCACTAGGAAGAGCTAAAATGGGGTTTTTGGATCATCTTCCTTCTTAGAGATCTAGATTAGCTCTAAAAAATGTTTAACTGACACCAAGAATTGGAATGGATAACTGTCAAGTCTCTTCTGTTGGTCTTTAAGAATATGACAGCTTTTCACATCTTTGGAATGGGTTAGATGGATTCTAATAGAATGGGAGTTATTTTTTAAAAAGGAGAAAAACCTCTGTGCTCAGAAATAATTTTTTTTAAAAGACCGACATAACATCTTGAATATAGTAGGCACTCCTATTCATGTTCGCATTCCAAATTTTAGGAAAGTAATTGTGTATGGATAACACTGTTATATCATCCAGAGAAGATAGTTTCATAAATCATTTACTGCCTGCTGCTGTGTTTCTATAACGCTAGTAGCCATGTTCAGTTTATTTTTGTTTGAAAATGTCGGTGTTATTAAAAAAATGACTAACAGAGAATGTAAAGCAAATTTGAATGTTACTCAACACTAAATATGTGGAAGAATACTATGAATCTTTTTTATAAGTCTCAAGAAACCTCTGCCTCAAATAAATAAAGCTAAAATGAAACTTCACATTTTCTGCATGGAAACATTGATGCCGATTTTATTTCATTTTTTGCTTTTTATCCTAGAAAAGAATACATATCAGTGCTTTACCTAACTGTACTTAATTTTATAATAAACAAGATAGAAGTGTAGGTATTTATTTTATTTGTTACAGATAACTTTTGAACACCTATGTGCGAAACACTAAGCGTAGCTGGTAAGAGGAATTCTCTCAAAGCAGCCTTCAGCCCGCTGTGTGGAAGTGAGAACAATACACATATATAGTGAAAGGAACAAATAGAGGAAAATGGGTGGATCAGCTGATGTATGTGTATAGTTACATATATATATATATATATGAGCCAATTTCATAATAAAAATAATTAATGTTGTATCTAATTAAATAGAAGCCTGTATTTTCCAGTGACTTTGGAATAATTCAAGCCACTGAAGACTTTGGGGTATCTGAGAAAAAAAAACTTGCTTTTATTTAAGTAGTCCCTCCAAAGGGAGAGAAGAGAATAATTTTCTGGCATGCACATCCCACCTTCCACCCAATGACAAAAACCACAGTCTTAAAAATGTGCATATGCACTCAGTTGTTTCAGATTTCAAGCTCTATCAGTTCAGCATTTTGCCCCTCCGCCCCTCTTCCTCGGGTTGAGTCTAAGCTCTGAGGCTCAGAGGGAGAGCTGCAGTGTCAGTGGATGGTGTCCTGTCTACTGTTAGCCCCGATCCGTCCTGAGGGGCCGTCCACCCTGCTGTCTAACTGTGCTGCCTCCTTTATCGAGTGTCTTCACTCCGTAGGTCGGCATCCTGTGAGATGGCTTTGGTCAGGTCTGCCTCCGTTTCACATGGCCATGCAGCTTTCCCCAAGAATGTCCCTTCTGTGACCCGTGAGAGGCCTGGTGGGCCTCTTGCCTTTTTTTCATGGCCTGCTGTATACCAGGCTCAGGAGGAAATGAGGATTCTCGTTGATAACTGTGAGAGTGGGGCTGACACCCGGCAGCCATCTCCACTGTCCCTCATCCCGGCTCCCAGGAAACTTTGTCCAGACAGCAGAGGAGTCCAGGGTTCCAGCATTGTCCCCACCCTCAGCCCAGCTCTTACTCTTGTTTTCTTTCTCTGAGCTCAGAAACTTTTACACAGTTCAAAGTGGGCACGGGGTAGGAAAACCAACCTGCTCATCAGGTGTTCTTCCTTAGCATTCTGCCCCACACCCGAACTGCTGCTTTCATCAACTTAAGGACCAAGAATTGCAAGTCTGTTCTCTGGTGCCTCCTGCTGACCCCAGTGGGGGAGGGTCATGAGATTCACGGACATAGGTCATCATGGTGTGTGGAGGCCGAGAAACATTTCCTTTAATACTTCCCATATCATCCTGCTGTCCAGGGAAAATAATCCTGTCATCGCAGTGTGTGTCAGTTCAGGTTCCAGAAGGGCACAGAAAACATCTTCAGAGAGGAGGCTGAAGAGGATTGAATGAAGGGACTGTTTATGGAGCAGTTTGAAGAGAATCAGTGATGGATGTCAGGGCACCTGAACTAGTCATGGGGAGAAGCTGTTACTATCATTACGTCTGTAGGGATCAGAGGAATAAATACTGTTCCCAGAGCACAATGAGCAATGGGTCCGTGGGGAAGGAGCTGCCTGGGGGATAAGTCCAGGAGGTTTATAGCCATACCAGAACCAGAGAATCCAAAGAAGGAGGGCTAGGCAGACTGCAGGGATGCCCCAAACCTCTCTCTCTCTCTGTCTCTGTCTCATGCCCATTAACCTCCTATTGGTACCTCCCATTGTCTAAACCTACCTGGAGGTCAGAGGACAAGGGAGCCCAAAGGATGTGGTCCATAGGTGTCAGCCGTCCAATGCACACAACAGGGCAGAGAAGGCTAGGGTGGGTAAGGGGATGAAAACGGAGAATAACAGGAACAGAGAATTTGATTGGAGATCAGACAGGTACACTCCTGATTTCAAGTACTCTGCTTAATGTGCCCACTGATATAAGCACCCTTGCCGGGATCTGAGGCTTGATATTGAGTGTCGACAGTAGGGCTTTTAGCTAGGGCTAGAGACAGAGGTGGCAAGAGAGTGAAATAAATGAAGCAGGAAGGATAAAGAGCCCACATGGTATACTACTATAGCTATACATTTATTTTTAAATGATTTGAGGAAATCTATGTATTGTCTCTGTACTATGTGGTTCTCAATTATATTTTTTCTGAAAATGAACTAAGGGCCAATACAAATAGTTTTCCAGCTACCCTGCAAAGCCACTGTGGATTGATGTGTGCTCGTGTTATCAAATATATGGGTATATTTTCTAATGGCGCTAGTAGATATGAGTCTTGCATTTCTTTGCATTATTACATTGTATGTCTCATAATTCATTTATTCACTCATATGCCACACCCTCTTCTGCTTGCTTTTCAAGCAGAAGCTCTTTCAAAACTGGTCTTTTAGAATTGTAACTGGTCCCCCCCCCACCTTTGTGCCAGATGTGAAAAGTATACAAACACAGCTGGATTAATACCCTTCTGCAGATGGTTTAGTTGGTACTTTGATGCATTAATATTACTGCCAGGATCTTATAATGTAGGTCGATGTAACTGCCTCAGTTGAAAAGAACCTTAAAGAAAGCTACTTTGTCTCACGTATATTTGTCTACACAGGGTGGCCAGTCCAAGCATAACCAACGGCTTCTGCAACACTAAGATGCTAAAAAAATACTCAGAAAGCAGATGACTAACAGAGCCAAGTAATTCCTGTCGCAACTGAGATAGAGGATTAAGCTCTGGTTATGAAATTTGCGTAAAACCGTGAGGATTAGTTTGAACTGAGCCTTTCCTAGTTCACTATTAGGCGGTTAATTTATGCCTTCCTTTGCCATCAGTTTCTTCTCTGGTGAGACTGTGATTGGCCCGGTCATTTCAGAGGTCTGCAGATCCTCTTTATTTTCCAGATTAGGTACTTTTTTTAAAGCATGAGTTTGACGGATTTGGAAAGCTGAAGCTAGATGGCAAAGGATGTTTTCTGCCTAATTACAGTAAATCTTTGGCTGGTTGAAGATGCTCTGAGAATTTTCACTTTTAACTTTTCTAGTTAAGAGAATCTAACACAAGGTTTTTTCTTCCTTTTTAAATTTTTGTTTTAGTCCTCATGTTAGAAAATTTTCTACAATACATAAATTAATGGCTTTTCTCTCTGCTGGGTGAAATAGGTGCATAAATGGCAACTTGAACACATTTTAATCTCTTTTAGGTTCATTCATTTGCTTTGCCTCACTGTCATTGGCACATAATAACTCGGTTGGAAAAAGGATGGATACCTGTATGTTATGAAGCCTGTTATGGAGTAAGTAGTAACAGGCTTCAAATTGCTTTTGAAAGTTTCTACACAAAGTCCAGAGTGTGGGCAGTCAGACAGCCCTGGGAGATGTCAGAAGTAAGGGTTAAGGACGCAGGCAGAAGGCTGTTAGAGCATGCAGTGTCCAGGAAGAGCCGTGTGTTATGACTAATAGACTAACAGCACAGCAACAAGAATGGAGCCTGACTCCATCCCTTAGAGAGGGCTGCTCATATGCCTTCTGGGAGAGTGGGGGCACTGGCCGGATGCAGGGGAGGGAGGCAATGAGGAGCAGGATGCTGACAGGGCCAGGGCAGGGGTGGCCTCCTTCTGTTTTAAGGCCTCTATAGCACTTTAAAAGTTTTGGTCTTTTTTCTCCATCTTTTCCTTTCTTTTTGCTTATTTGCTCCCTCTCTCTCCTCTTTGGATTATTTTTTGCTTCGTTTTTAATTTTATTCTTAATGAACTAATCGTAGATATGAACTTGTTCTATTTTCTTTGATTCTTCTGAAATTGTGGTTTAATGGGATCTATCCTGCTAGTAACATTGAGAACACCAGAAAATTACTGTATGGGTATCCCACGCCTAATTATAAAGCTCACCCTATGTAATAACCTGTCACTTCACTCTTCCATCTTATATCATTCCTGTTTACCACAGAGTATCTCACTGGGGAATAGTAAGATAAAAGAAAACTTGTTTCTGTGGAGCCCCTGAATTTCAGATTCTGACAACTGCTTTGGCATCCATCTATGCAGACATCAAAATAAGATCCAGGGATGAATGTACAGTTGCATAAATGGCCCCACTTTGCTCCAGAAAAATACGGGTTTAGTGGCTCTGCCTTCCTGGGATGTGAAGAGCAAGAGAGTGACAAGCAGGAAATAGTTCCATTGCCCATAAGCCCTTCTCCATGGAGCTCCCTAAGTGGGGCTAGCATAATATTTGCCCTTTACACCTTGCATTTAGCTGAAGCTGTTGGATGATTCGTTAAGAACATTGGACCAAATAGGAAAAGATCAAAGGTCAGAATGAATTTCATTCTGTTTGAAGGGTAGATAAAGGTGTCAGTAAATCTGATCTCAGCTGATGGGGAAGATGATGGGCATCTTACATGTGTCTGATCACAGGACCTGTCTTCTGCCATGTTAGGCCTTTTGTGTAAATATAGACTAACTAAGAGCAATGACTCCATGCCATCAAAACAATTGCTTAAAAAGTTTAAAATTCTGTTATACCTAGTATAAATGGTGTGCATACAATAACTGAACTGATTCATTATTTTGGCCCTAAGAAGCCACAGCCTGTATCTTCCTCTGGGAAGCTCATAATCTAGAGGCAGAATGTCCCCATCAGTGCACTCAGCGAACATGGTTTGCAAGAGCTCCCTGATGTTGAAATGCACATGCGCTGCCACAGTCTAATGACGAGGGGCTGCTTGCTTGCATGCCTCTTCTCACACAGAGAGTGAAACACACCATGTCTTGTTTAAGATACTGTTTTCATCTTAATTTAATGATGACTATTTCAGTTAGCTGCACGTTGACTCAACCTATGTAGGCCTATGCGTTAATAAACTTATTCTGCAAATTAAAAAAATGGAAGCAGAGGTTTCAAGGTAATAAGTGAGAGTACCACAGTTAGTGACAGAGAAAGGGCTATGATGCTGAGCCAGGCCTCATCCTGTGCTTTCCATGTGCCCCGGGGAGCGCGCTATTGCAATAATCACCGTGTGGGTGTGCCAGGATGGGACTGGTTTTCTTTTTTTGTTTGTTTGTTTTCTTTTTCCTCCCTTTGTTTAACAAAAAAGGTAATAACTCTGCTGAGCAAGCGCATCTTGTGATATAATCAAATCACAATGTTCTATTTCTTTTGTCCAATTGGCCCATTTGAATTTTGTTTGGGGATTAAGTCATTATGAAATCTCAACAGACTCTGCCTTTTTTTTTTTCCCCGCATTTTTTTTTTACTATTAGGTAAGAGGCAGTCCTGTGGACACTTGAAGTAGAAAACACGTCTCAAGTTAGTAACTGTGATATTCAGGCCAAAACTTTAATCCCAACTCCACAATTTTTATTTCTTGCCTAGTTGAGGTAGAAGTTGTCTGTCTGACCTTGAGGAAGATGATGTTATCATGCCCTGCTGGCCCACTCTATCTGTTCACCTCTTTTCCTCCATCAGGCCAGGCTCCTCATCTGAGGGAGTTTGAGGAAGCTTGGAGGGCTCTGGGAGGGAAGAGAGATAGACAAGGGGATGAGGCAGGACCTTGGCCTCAGGCTCTCTGGGCTGGGCATAGGGTGACAGCAGATTCTTTCCCTCAGGGGTGATTTCATGGGCTCTGAAGAGATTTGCACCTCTGGGGACCTCTTTTTCTGCATTTCCCCTAGCCCCTGGTAGGGGCATCTTTATTTGTTCTGGTTGAGTGGCCAGTTCGGATCTCACCTACTGACCCAAAGAATTTACTTTCGGCTTCTGGCTGCTGGGGTCCCAGCACCCTCTTGTTGGCCCCAATGCCTAGGACCTAAGACTGCTCCGGCTGTCCCTCTCTCTTTCTGTCCCTCCACCTGGCCCACATCTGGTCCCCAGAGAACACCATTCCTTGCCTTCCCCAGGGCTGGTGGTTGAGTCAGCCCCAGTGCAGTCCTGTATCTGCTTACACAGCCTGCGCTAGCCTCCTCAGGTGTGAATGAGGCCCTCTGTGTCCCAGAGGAGAAGTCTCATGAGGTGCCAGCTCCCACTGGGCTCCAGGTGGAGGAAGAGTCCCAAGGAAGGAGAGGTGGGGCCTCTCATTGGGGCAACAGTCCTCTCTTTCAGAAGTATATCTTCATAAATCACACTTGCCTTCACTCTACCTCTCTGTGTTTGTCTTTGACCTGGCTGAGCGGTCCAAGAGTACAACAGTTTTTATTTCTTTTGTGACTTATGCTTGTGGAGGTCTGACTTCGGAATTCCAAATCTACTTTTTCTTGATTTTGGTGTCTTCATTTAAACTTCAGTTTTAACCCCCATTCTTTCTATCTTGTGAATTTAAACTTTTTCCCCTTTGAGTAAATACTCATTCAAGTTCAGGATTCTCTCCCACTTCTCATCCTTTTTTCTTTGTCCTTAGGAATGATCAGGCCAAAGGGCCTCACGTGTTGATCTGACCTCTAGGAGAGAAGTTTGATTTTCTGGGGTCCTCTGTCTCACTAGCCTTCTGAAGGTGGGCAGACCTATTTTGGGGTATCAGTCTCCTTCCCCCTGCATCTGCTGTTGAAGCTCAAGAATATCTCACTTAGAATTCCAGGCACCTGGTTTATACATTCTCATTTTCTCCAGCCAGGGCGTGCTGGGGCCAGCTCTCAGGCTCTTTGCCTTTCTCCTTGCTCTTCCGTCAACCCTTCCCTGCACCCTTTGGGAGCCTCAGGACTGTGTGTATAGGCACTCCACGTGAACATCCCTGTGGTGTTGCTGCTACCCACTGTTGGAAGGCAGGTAGGTGTTCTGGAGGCTGTCTCCTCTGGGAATTCCCAAAGAGAATCAGGGCATTCATCGCTGTATTGTCATTTAACCAAACTATCTCAGTATTTCTATTGCCCTCCCTCCCCATCACCATCCCTACCTAGGGAGTTGATCCTCGGGGGTGTGTGGAAGGCAGTGGTGCTACTTCTCACCTATCACTGAGATCTAAGCGCTCGCCACACTCCCTCCGGTTATCCAGCTCAGCCTAGCTGATCAGACCAATCTTCTCAAGGGTTTTGATATGATCCTCCATTTTTCCCACCTCTGAGCTTTCATGCAGTAAATTCTATCCTGGACTGTTATGGCTGCTATAGATTCACCAACATCTTAGGACTTTAAAGTCTAATTACTTGATTCTTTGTTTTCCTGGGATTTTTCGTATGTCCTCCATTCCATACAGAGGCTCTGCCTGAGAGTCTTAAAGTAGAGCACTGCAGGGCACACGAGGGATAACAAAGAAAGAAGAATATTCTCAGGTAATATTGCAAAATATTCTGCTCCATTACTGCATAGTTTCTCTGTGAAGGAGGTGAATGCCTTTGAAAGATGGGTCCGCTGACAAATGACAAAATAACTAGGACGTTAAAATGGATTTTATCGGAAAGCGGCTGCTCACTTATTACAGAATGAGTCATCAAATTTGCTCAATATCAGAACATCTTGTTTATCTTCAATTTTTTATTTCCTTACCAAATCTCAATGCCAAACCTTTTCCTCTTTTATAACGGAAGACATGCCATTGGAGATTATTGTCCTCTCATTGAATAACCTCAGGGAAACATAAAAGGCAAGTCTTTTTAAAGGTAAAAATGAAAAGAAGCTCTCTTAAAGCAGGGTCTTTTATCTTTTTACAGGGCATTCCTCTGTCAGTCTCACTTTCAAAAACATCTTTCATCTATGACTCAACAAGGCTCCTTCACCTGCCTTTCAAACAGGAGATTAAGTGTATAGAAATGTGTGGAGTCGTGTTTGTTTCCTAGTGATTTCCTGACACCCTATCCCTAAGGGTCAGAGGAATGGTGGGCTGGGAACAAAGGGCTGGGGTGGGCATCAAGAGTCGTGGGGTTGAGAACGTCAACAATCTTGCTATACCCCCCCCTTCCCCACCCCTTTTGTGACATGTTCTGTTTGCATCCATTCCAGCAGTGCTGGTTTGTAAGTGTCAGTAACAAACACCAGTGAGGGTGATTTGGGGCAAGTCCCTTTGGCAGACCAGTGCTGGGCATGACAGATAGATGGTGCTGATTAACTGGCTAAGGAGGAGCGTCTTTGAAGCGTAATTATGACTGTCTTACATACCGTAGACTGCAGGTTAGTTTCCAGAAGTCACTGTGACTTTCTTGGCTTCATTTATAACATAATTTATGGTAATGACTCTTCATATTTCTTTCTACCCTTGGATTCTCAGAATCATGGTTTCTGTGCTCACGTCTCAGGAAATACTTGGCTGTTTTACCGGTTCTCTGTGAAGTTTAGGGAAATCATCCATGTCATACCTCCTTTCCTG